CGCCGCTCGAGGTCGAGGGGCGACGCCGCCCCGCGAGGGGCCCTTCCGCGACCGGGCGGGATCCCTCCCAAGGGCCGGCCCCAGAGCGGGGCTCGCACGAGGAGGAGGAGGAGGAGGGAGGAGGAGGAGGAGGAGGAGGAGGAGGACGGGGGGGGAGGAGGGAGGAGGAGGAGGAGGAGCGAGGGAGGAGAGAGAGGAGGGGAGGAGGAGGAGGAGAGAGGAGGAGGAGGAGGAGGGAGGAGGGGAGGAGGAGGAGGAGGAGGAGGGAGGAGGAGGAGGAGGAGGAGGAGGAGAGGAGGAGGAGGGTCGTGACCGGGGGCCGCGCCACGGCTCGCGCGCGCGGCGGCGCGCAGCTCCAGGCGAGAGGGCCGCCGCCCGCGGAGGCGGAGCCGGGCGCGGAGGTCCCGAGAGCGCCGCGGGAGCCGCGATCGCCGCTCGGCCCGTCGGGGGCGTCGCGGGGAGCACCGGGGCCCCTGGAGTCTGACCCAGAGATCCAACGCATTGAAAAAATCAAGACAAAGGTTTTTTGCTATTTTCGGCCTCTAGAGGCCCTCGCCGGGCCTCGGGACCGTCAAAAAAGGACTCAGGATGAAAAACCGGCCCTGGGGAAAGGGTCGGGACTTCCCGGGACCCCGTATTGAAAAAATCACGACATCGGATCTCTGAGTCTGACTACCTGCCAGACCACCCCAACCCAACCCGAAGACCCGAATTTCGGGTTGGGGGGGGTACGGGTTCCATATGTGTGTTTCCTCGAGGTTCCCCGACCCCCCCCCAACTGGAAAGGGAGGTCAGATCGAAACCTTCGGGTTGGGTTGGGGTGGTTTGGTGGGTGGTGAGAGTCGGGGGCCGTGCGGCTCCGGGCCCGCGCTCGAACCCCGCGGCACCCACGCCGACGCCGCCAGGGTTTCCCCGACGCCTCCTCCGCGGCCGGGCGCGCGCCCGGCAGAGTTCTCTCTCGGGCGCGCCGGGGGCCAACTCGCATCCCACATCTTGACGGAGATGGACGAGGTGGTGCGCGCCGGGAGAGAGGCCACCACTGCAATGGCCGAGGAGGCCCCACCGGTGGCTTCCACCCATTTCCGCGCGGTCACTAGTCCAGCCCATCCGGCCACGGGCCTTCGGAGCGCTCGCGAGGCACGGACATTGCGCCGAGCGGTGGGCCTCCTGGCGAAGCACGAGCCCAGAGCCGCGGCATACCTGCGCAGCCACAGGATTTGCACATCGCCAACCACCATGCGACCATCAACAGCTGCTCCACTACTTGACGGATAACGAAGATGACTTCTGCAGTCTGGCGGCCCGGCCTGGAAGCGAACTGATTCGGCGAGGCACCCAGGGTCGCGAGACCGCGAAAATCGGGGGGGGCCTGCGTGCAGGCCTTCCGTAATACGAACACCACAGCGATAGGTCTCCATTTCTTAATAAGGAGGCCGTTCACGATTTTCTCACTAAGTCGCACGACGCTCGCACCCCATCCCGAGGGCCCGCCGATGGCCGGGCCGCTCAAGGATCCAACCTCGGAGAGGGCGGCTCAGAAACCATCGAAGTCGCCCGAAACATCGAAGAACATTTCCACCGCGAAAATCGCGTTTCGAGGGCGCGATCCGCTTTTAATCCGAGAAATACTCGTCGCACGCGCAGCCCTGAAATGACGCGCAAGACAGGGGGCCCCGACCGGCCCCGACGACGATTCAGCCATGCAGGGACAAGCATCGCATCTCCACGCCTGTGGAGATCGGCAGACTAGGACACGGTAAATTTGGGACATCCCAGGGACCCTAGGTCAGCCCGCCCTGCCCGTTGAACCTGCAGCACCGCCAGGTCGGTGGAGAGAGATAATACTGTCGGTGCGTCCGCGTTCCAAGAGCCACTCGCAGTCCCGATCCTGTCGGGCATGCCGCAACTGTCTCCGAGACTCCCGAACCAGGACCTCGGCCTTACACGAGAAACGACGCAGAGCCTGATCGTCCGTTTGCGGCCTCAACGTTTGGTCGCGCCCCAACTGCAAGTTCCCCCGTCGCTCGGGTCGGAAGGGGCGGGTCTCGAACGTCTACAGCCACATCAGGCGACGGCCACCTGTCTGGATCGGTCACGAATTGGGAGGACGCTGGGAGCCGGGGGGGAAATCGCCGTCGAACAGACGTGCGCAACACAGGAAGATTGCCCAAGTCGCTTCTTCACCAGGCGGAGCCGCCCAAGAATCCAGGAAAGTCGCCCGAGTCTCCGGCGGTCAATCAAGAACAACAAACTGGCGGGAGGTGACGCGCGTCGGGCGGCGAGACTTGGGATCCGCACCCTCTGTGACAAGGAGGCCCACTGCCGCGTCACCCGCGCGCCCCTTTGCGCGCGCCACTCTGGAGAGCAGACCCGGCACCGCCTGCAGATCTCGCGCCAGAGGGCGAACGGCACGACAAACGGCGCGACGACCATCTGCCCCGCAGCACCTGCTGGGCGCAGCAGATTCGAGGACGAACTTGATCCTATCCCGAAATGGGAGACATCTGGAGTCCCAGGCCCCCGACGTCGTGATTCTTTCCCCACGTCGACACCCAGAGCTCTGGACCCCCTCCCTGGGGCCGGCTTTTCGTCCCGAGTCGTCTTTGGACGGCCCCGAGGCCCGGGAAGGGCCTCCAGAGGGCAGAAATAGCGAAAAACCTCCCGTCGTGATTTTTTCACGACGTGGAGGAGGAGGAGGAGGAGGAGGAGGAGGAGGAAGAGGAGAAAAGGGGAGGAGGAGGAGCCCGAGGAGGAGGAGGAGGAGGAGGAGGAGCCCGAGGAGGGAGGTCTGGGGTTGAGAAGGAGGGGGGCCCGAAGAAAGAAACCATAGACAGGCCTCGATCGGGGCAGAGAGCTCCGCCGCGCCGCTCGCCCCGCGGCAGGCGCCCAGGGGAAAAGGGGGCCCCCCGGGCCAGCGCGCGCGGGGCCACGCGCGGAAGCAGTCGGCGACAGCCCCGCCGCCAGACACGCCGTTGGCATTACAGCAAATCCAAAAAAAAAAACGCTGATTCACGAAGGTGGAGCAAAGTTAGCCACTGCTCGCCCCATGCATGTTCTGTCCTCCCCCCCTTTGCTTCCCCTTCCCCTCTTTGTGCCGCTGCAGCAGTGTCGGACCAGGGGGGACAGCATGTCCCACCCTCCCACCCTCTTTTTCTGCCTGCCCCTGCTGGGGCGCCGGTGGCAGTCCGCGCGGCGAGGTGCCGCTGCACCTCGCTCTTGCTTCAGGGCCGTGCGCAATGCAAAAAGGAAAGGGTGGGAGGGGAGCGGGCTAACAGCAGATGATTTCGGGAGCGCCCGCGAAATCGAGGTGCACAAAATCGCGCGTCGTGCGATCGACGTCGAAGGAATCGCCGACGGTGTTTCGGCAGGCGGCGGCGTCGTCGCAACGCCAGCTTATCGGCGCAAGTCGGAGGGGAGGTCGAACCGCCGCTTCGGCCCATTTACTCTCGGGGTCTCGAGCATGAAGCTGGAGCTGGAGAGGGACATGGTCCGAGGTAGTCGCCGGCGAAGATTCGACCATGCGCGGGAAGCGGTCGGGTGGAAACGTTGGGTCGAGATGCAGCTAATCCGGCTCCAAGGTCGGGGAAATTGGCGCGGGGGGCAGCATCGCCTACAAAGGCGGAGGAGGAGGAGGAGGAGGAGGAGGAGGAGGATTGGAGGAGGAGGAGGAGGAGGAGGAGGAGGAGGAGCTTTCCTGGCTTTCCTGGCCCGAAGCTCCAATTCGCACAGCACGACGCACCGGGCTGTGACCTCCCGCGCGCGAGACGATCCCTGGCGGATGGGGGTCCTCGGGGGGACCGGGCGCACGGGCCAATTTGAAGGGGCCCTGGGACACACACATAAATACACACAAATAACCGGATCCCCCATATTTTCCTATATTTTCTGGGTTTTTGTCTTCCCCACCACTTCCCATATTTTCCCATATTTTCTTGGGAATCGACGATTAATTGTGTCTGTGTGTTTTTTTTCCTTCCTGACAATATGGGAGGAGTCGAGGTCGGAGTTGGATATCGGACCTGGATGGGCGTTGGCGCCCAATCCGAGAACCTCCTCGGTTTCATTGGGGGTTGCGGGCGCATGCTGCCGAATCTCGCTGACGCTCGCCACCAGCAGTTCCCAATCCTTTGAACGGCGAGCGCGCGGCAACCCCACCGGAACACATCCGCGTTCAAAATGGCGGCAAAATGCGCCAACCCAGCGGGAGTTCTTCTCCACACTTAAGACCTTCCAGCCGCCACCTCGGCGGGTAATGATCACATTCTGCCAGTCCCTGCCACTTGCGGGCCCACAAGAACACGGCGCCCATCGATATGCCATGGGGGCTCTGCGTTGCGCAGCGCAAAACATGCTTACAAAAGCAACATGGACAAAAGGAGCTGCTTCTCGAGATCTCCAAGGAACTGTGGCAAGCCCTTCAAACACACACACACACACACATCTCACAAACTCCTACTAACAACACAAACAGAGCCCAGCATTCGCCTCTGTCGCCATCTCCTCAGCACTCGAAAAGCTCCGGATCAGTAGGCCCCAGCTGCTTGAATGGATCTCTAGCAAAATTGGTGTCCAGGCGAAGGTACAACCTGATGTCCTCGAGCAGGGTATTCGCGGTGGCGGTGATCCTCACATTGTGAGTCATCATGTCGCAACCGAGGAACTTGATGCGGCCGACCATGTGAGCATTACCCTGGAGGCGCACCTGGGGGAAGATACCCTCGCCGAGTTCATCCTTGAACGCCGACGTAGTGGTCAGGATGCTGGAGGAAGTGAGCTGACAGGATGGATGTGAGAGTGGTAACAATCTCCACCTGCGGCTTCGACCCGCCTATCTCCCAGCCGAACTTGTCAGCGTTGTGCCACAACGCCTATCGATCACGAGCCTCCATTGAACTTGTTGCCTCTCATCTTCCTCAGAAAAGATCCACATTTGATCCGAAGTCGGAACAAAAAAATGCAACGCTCTCGACGGGGGTACTTTCTCGCAGGGGATGCGCAGCTCACCTTTGATCTGGGCCACCAGCAACTTTCCGAACTCGTATTTGATTCCTCCTAGACAGAAAGCCTTCCTTCTTCCCGTTGGAACGAACGCTGCCGTCGAGACAGAAGAGAGAGCCGCCGCTAGTGTGCCCGACAAAGTGGATGGTAGCTCCGCCGCCGCCACGTGGGATACAATCGGTCTCCAGAGCATCCAGTCTCCTCTCGACGGCGTCCTGCTGGGCTTCCATCGAGCGCACCGAGCTGTTAACCGCAAACAGTGAGATCTGAATGCCTGGAATATGGTCCTCCTGGCCGTTGATGGAGTCCGTCAACATGGTACCCACGGCCCGTACGAGTCTGGCCTGACCCGCAACAACGCTTTCTTCCCGGACGCGGCGCTGGGCGGAGGCAGCAGCGTCGAAGGCGGAGCCGCCTACGGGCTCACACGTCGGCGGGCATCTGGAAGACCATCACCTCTCGCGTCATCAAAGAGGTCCGCGCCCATAGGGTCATCAGTTCTGGACACGCCTGGAAGTAACCCGCCCACGGTCGCACGTGGAAGTAAGCCACCCACAGCAGACATCACTAAGGAGCGGATGCCGACAAAATTGAAGTAAAAGGGAAGCGGGCGATGCAGCGTAGACTGTGGAAAGGAAGAAGGACTCTGATCTCCACCTCCAGAGAAAATGCACTTTGGAGCCAGAATGGGAAAGACGGGGATGGGGAGGGGGAAGGCGGGAGGAAGAGACAGAGGAGGAGGGCAAGGGCGAAGCTGGAGCGGGCGGTGGGAAGTGGGGGGGGAGGTAATTATACGACATGGGAGGGGGGGGGGAAGAGTGGGAGGGCACTGGGAGCGGAGAGGGGAAAAAGGGGGGAGGCGAGAGGATCGCATCGAGGCCCGAGGGGCATCAAGCCAGCCAGGCCGCCCTCACCGAAGCGGCCCACGGTGCCGGCCCGTGGGGGGGGGGAACAGGCAGGTGCCCCTCATGCCGCTGCTGCTCCCCAAGAAGGCGTCCTCCCCGGGGCACGCTGAGGCCCGAGCTTCGAGGAGAGGGAGCCCAGCCGCGGAGCCGAGGACTCGCCGGGGAACGAGCAGCTCGGTGCAGTCAGAGCTGAGTGCAAGGACACGCGATATGTTGCATCCTCGGGGGACCTTGTCTGTCCCGTCGCGGCCCTGTCCGCGTCGAATCCGTGTCGAATCCATGTCGGACGCGTCAGATCCGTGTCGAATCCGTGTCGAATCCGCGTCGAATCCACGCCAAATCCGCGTCGAGTCCGCATCGAGCACGCGTCGGGCCCCCAAAAAGACACCAATTTTGGGGACAGGCGAGGTCCCCCGAAGGTGCAACAGAACACGCGATAAAGATGCAGGGGCCTTGGGGGGCCATGCCGGCACTTGTCGAGCGGGGCGCCGCCCACGGAAGTGGCCGAGGATGGGCCGCAGGGCCAGGCTTGCAGGGGAAACCTCGGAGAGTCGCTCGTCCTTACTGTCAGTGCTGACTGCTCGTTTTCCGCCCCGAAGCTCGGCTGCGCGCAAGAGTGACCCTGGGCAAGAGCGACCTCTGGTGCGCAGCCTCTGGGGGGCTGCCGGAGTGGGTGCCAAACACAAGCGCGCAGGACGCCACTGCCGCCTCGCGCTCGGCGGTCGGGGGACCCCAGCGGGCCCGCATAGAAGATTCCTCCTGCGACAGGTCACTCTTAGCTGACACACAGCCCGAGAGGCGGAGGAGGAGGAGGAGGTGGAGAAGGGGGAGGAGGAGGAGGAGGAGGAGGAGGAGAGGAGGAGGAGGAGGAGGAGGAGGAGGAGGGAGGAGAGGAGGAGGAGGAGGAGGAGGAGGAGGAGTAGAGGAGGAGGAGGAGGAGGAGAGGAGGAGGAGAGAGGAGGGGGAGGAGGGGGGGGAGGAGGAGGGGAGGAGGAGAGTCCTCCCCTGATCTCACAAAGCCCGAGGAGCTCGGAGGAAGGCCATCGGAGGAGGCCATCGAACGCTCGAGGCCCTGCCCGATCGCGGCCTCTCGCGCGCGCGCGGCGGCGGGGGGCTGGCGGCGGGCCGCCTCGCCGGAGCGGAGGTCCGCGGCGCTGCCTCCGCCGCGACCCCGCTGGCTCGATCGGTCCCCGGCTCGGGCGGGGGGCCCTCGCTCCTGCTCGTCCTCCTCGCCCTCCTCGCCCTCCTCCTCCTCCTCCTCCTCCTCCTCCTCCTCCTCCTCCTCCTCCTCGTCCTCGTCATCGCCTTCTTCTCCATACTAGTTTTAGTATGACTCGTATTATTATTGTAGTGAGTAGTATCAGTATTATTAGTGTTATCATTATTAATAGCATCATTATTACGATTATGATTAGCAGTAGTAGTTGTTGTTGTTATTGGTATGATGGTTAGTGTCATTCTTAGTATATGTATTCGTATTAGTCTTCATGCTAGTACTATTTGTAGTACTAGTTTTAGTTGCAGTATTATATGTAGTACTGTTAATGTAACAGCATTATTATTAGTATCAGCCTTGATGTTACTAGTCGTAGTGTTACTAGTCTTATTCGTAGTATGATTAATAAAACATTAGTTGTTGCATTATTACTATTCGTACTAGTATTCGTTTTCTTATTAGTACTACTCGTAATAGGATTAATACTGATAGTCATCATATTAATATTCCTCGTATTGTTACGACTGATATTAGAATTAGCTTGGAATTCATATTCTTAGTACTAGCATTGTTGGAGTTCGTATTGGTCTGAGTATTGTTCGCCAGATGTTAATATCGATATGGTTATGAATATTACTAGTGGTATTATGATGGCTACGATTCCGAAGTTCTAAGTTATTACTTAAATTCGTATTAACTAGTATTCACATTGCGCTTACTACTAGTATGTTTCTGATTGGTATGATTCGTGTTCGTAGTAGCCTTGTTATTGTTATCAGTATCAGTCGTCGTGCTAGTAGTATTCTTAGTAGTTATTTCGCATCAGCAGTCTTAATCGTATGCTTATGAGTATTAGAAGTAATGGCCTTCTTCGTATTAAAAGTATTAGTGCTCGTCTGCTTCGTTCTCTTTCACTGATCAGATTCACATGACGCGTGTTATGATACGATTAGGCATAACACTATTGTAAGTACTATTGTTATTAATCGTCGTATTCGTCGTATAGTTGGGTTTGCACTGCTCCTCCTCCTCCTCCTCCTGCTTCTCCTCCTCTTCATGCTCCTCATGCTCCTCCTCCTCGTCCTCCACCTCCTCCTCCTCCTCCTCCTCCTCATCCTCCTCCTCCTCCACCTCCTCCTCCTCCTCCTCCTTCTCGCTCGCTCGCCCGCGGCAGCTCCAGCCCGCCACGGCCTCTCGCCACGTCGAAGACGAACGCGTGCCTCGACGCGGCCCGCCGGGCAGCGGAAGGCGAGGCTCCTGCGGGGACCGTCTGCCAGAAGGGGGGGGTGCAGGAGGGGAGGGAAGGAAAGGAGGAGAAGGAGGCGGAGGAGGAGGCGGAGCGTCGCCGAGGGACAGTCTCTCCTTACGCATGCCCTCGCTCGCGCCTCCGCCACGACCCCGCTGCGAGATCCGTGGCGAGGCGGGCGGCCTGGGCTATTTGAAACGCCTCCTGCGGCGCTGGGCGATGGGCGGAAGAAGGAGGCGGAGGAGGAGGTGGAGGAGGAGGGAGGGAGCAGAGGGGCGGAGGGGGAGTCGCAGGAGCGGGAGCAGGAGGAGGAGGAAGGGGGAGGAGGAGAACCAGGGGAGGAGGGGCAGGAGGAGCAGGAGCAGCGGAGGGGGAGGAGCAAGGGCGGGAGGAGGGCGGGCAGGAGGGCGGGAGGGGAGCACAGATGAGACGGAGGAGGGGGAGGATGACGAAGGCGAGGCTGCCCGTCTCCCCCCGCTCTCAACCAGAGGGGATGTGGCAAGCGGGGTAGGGGGAACAGAGCAAACGGAACGCAGGCGGGCGCGGGGAGGAGGGGGCGAGAGCGCGCGGGGGAGCGGATGGGGACGGGGACCGGGACGGTGGACGGAACGAACGGAAAAGCTAACACCGCTGCAGACAGGCGTCCGGGCCTAGCTGAAACAAAGTGGATGAGGCCGTGGCATCTGGATTGCGCCAGCTACTCTGTCGCGCAACATATGTAAAGAGTGACCAGAAAGGAAAGGAGGAGAAACAGACCCTCTCCTGAATGTCGGAGTCGACAAATCGACGGTCGGTGAGCCCGCTACTGGCTGGCGAGAACTCGGCGTGAATGTCGGCGCGCGGTGCGTGCCGTCCGATTGGTGCGTTGTTCAGTCACCTCGTGCGATTGTCCGCACTTTGGTGTTGTCGTCATCAATGGACTGTGTGGGGGGAGATTGTTTCGAAAGTCCGTCCTTCGCCTCTACCTCTTGCCTTTCCCTCCTCCTTCTCCTCCTTCGGGTCGCCCGTGACCCTTCTCGAGTCGAGCGATGCTCCCAGAGAGGTTTGCCGGGCACGTCGATTCGCATGTTCTTGGAAAGATTCCTGGGAACATTCGATGTTCCCAGAAGCCTTGGGTCGGGCGTGTACTCCTACAGGCGGATTTGGGACGAAAAAGAAGGAATACCCAAGAATATTCAAACAATGTAAAAAAAAAGTTACTCAGAAATGATCACAAGAAAATCGGGCCCAGGCAATGTTTGTACTATTTTTGGCTGCTCTCCCCTGGAGAGGAACATATGCCCGACGTAACCGGAGCCGCACGCCGCACGCCGCCCCACAGAAGACAGCTCCTCCTCCTGATCCTCCTCCTCCTCCGCCTCTTCCTCTTCCTCTTCCTCTTCCTCCTCCACATCGTCCTCCTCCTGATCCTCTTCCTCCTCCTCCACCTCCTCCTCCACCTCCCCCTCCTCGTCCTCATCATCATCCGCCTCCTCCTCCGCCTCCTCATCCTCCTCCTTTTCCTCCTTCTCCTCCTCCTCATCCTCCTCCTCCTCCTCCTCCTCCTCCTCCTTCTCCTCCTCATCATCATCATCATCATCATCATCATCATCATC